AAAGGTTCGATTCGAAATTCCAACGTATACGACCTGAAGAAGGCCGGGGCGTACAACGGCCGAAACCTCGTGAATATGGCAATAAAGATGGGGACAACAGTTCTAATGACATAAATAGCGTAAAAAGCATATTTATACTCAGAACAAGAAAGGGGAATTTCTAGGACAAATAATGAGAAAAGGGTTTGAAGAATTTGACACTATCGCAACATATCGAGGGCAAGAGGTAAGGGAAAGACAGCGAGCTTACCTACTTGAACAGCTCGTGTCCGTAGATGGCAAAAAGGGAGGCGATAAATTTGGCAAAGAGACAAACGTTGCTAAGGACTACAAAGGTAAGGAGGATATGGAAAGTCACGATTGCCTGAAAGGAGATGGCACGGAGGAAGTGTCGTGTGAACGTGACGTAATGTGGACTCTAAGAATTTACATGTATTTTAGAATACCTTTTGTATAAGTATAAGTGACTTTGTTGATTATTGGATGCTATGAGTTAATATGCATAACTTCTATCTGAAAAAGTAAAGCAGATTCGATATAAGTAAAATATTCAGTTGTTATACATATAGGGTTTTCTTCAATTATGAGACCCGTAAACTCCGGCCTTCTTCAGGTGATACATGGCCCAGTAAATAAAAGTGGTCTATTTTTGCTTAGCGGCATATCAACTCGGGAGGCATAGTGGTGTAATGGACTGCGGCTCGGGTTGAGGAATCGGAGAGCCGAGCTCGAATTCCAGTCGATATCAGGATATTCACTTACGTGCTAATACCTGTCTATATTTCTGAGATGAGGTATTATGTACATTATTTATATTATTCGAACTATTGTCCTCATCTTTGTCGCCATATTTATTACAACGTTTCGGCCTTCTTCAGGTAGTTGGAATGTCGAACTGAACCCTTTATTTCGCTCACTGGGGCAGACTGTTCTAGTTCCACGTGCCATGTTTGATGGATGTCAGTTATCAGTTATCTCCTGTTAATTTCCCTCTGAAAGTTCTCCGCTGCCTTAAACGGGTATTGAACTCCTATCACTGGATCTAACCAACGCCTTTATCCACTGTGCCATGTGTCCTTGAGGAATCTCCTGAGCCGACCAAGCATAGAAATAAATACAATATGGGAACCAGTAATAAGGAGTGCCAGAGAAAAGTAATATGAGCTCTGGTAAAAACATGCAATGATAACAGCAAAATTGCAATATGAGCACTGGTAAATGTGGTTGCTGAAGACATTAGGTTTATAATACCCAGAAATTCATACACAGATGTCCTCAATGTAAATAATGTGCTAATACGCATGTGAAAGGTATAAATCCATCTCTTTTAAATTCATCTCTTATCCAGCTATGGATAAATAGCAGGACTGATTGGGTTCTATAGCCTTAGTTGGCAACCGCTCTAAGGGAATGAAAAGCTCTGAATTCAAAACCCCCACCTATGGGCAAATAGTAGGGCAGCCTGGGCTCTGTAGCCATGGTTGGGGATCAGATTAGGAGGACATCTGTGAATTCAAATCCGGAGCCGGATTACACTATTTACATCGAACTGAATATATTGTTCATATATTCATCATCTGGGTTAAATAAAATACATTGTAGACAGTCCGATGCTATGCTCAATTCCGTTCTGGAAACTCCATCAAAGACGACGGTACCAAGCTGTATTGGCCTCTGTCTTTTCCTTGGACAACATCGGTGACGTGGAGATGGGAGATGTGTAATGCATTGGCAACTGCCGATCTCTCATAAGCAAAACCCTGTCCAAACGTGCGTCTTGGAGAAAGCATAACTTTTCGGACGCAGATCCATGGTCTCTTGAAACCGAAGGGATGCCATATTTTACAAAGCCGTCTGGGTTAGTTATTGGCGAAATCTAAATATGAGAATGCAAACTTTATAATTAATTCAAGAGAATAACATTATTTTATGATTAAATTATAAATACTTAGCTGCATATTTGTAACCAAATAATTGTACTAAATTAAACGAGAAGTGAAAACTTCTTTCTCCTTACAAGAAACGAGATTAATCCGAGCAAAAAGGATTTTTTTTTACTTTATTTATTTTTTTTATTTGTTTATTTTATTTTTTTAATTTTTTTTTATTTCTTGACAATGTAAGCCATGTCTTCAATTTTACTATATAATGTAATTATGGTTAGTTAACTATAAAAATGTGTTGCCAGTAATTTTGCTAATAGAATGTTTAGTTCGTAATTTGACTATTAAAATGTGTTGCTTATAGTTTCCTTTTATGCAAATATATGGCTGGTAATTTCACTATAAAAATATATTGCTAATATATAGCAACTGGTATACCGCAGAAAGAAATGGCAACCTACTGCTGGAAAAAATCTGCCTCGTATCGAAAGATACATGATCGCCTAAGTGTGTATCACGCATGGCACATAACTGACTGAATTCATCTGAACATTTGCAATGGAAATAATGATAAAGTGGCGATAAGCTCGCGACGTTTAATGCCACGCCCCTTCATA